ATTTAAATTTAAAAAAATAATTTAATGAGATTAATTATAAATTTAATAAGATGAAGTTTGAATTTCAAATAAATGATATAATCTAAAAGAATTTTTGTTATATAAGATTCAAATTAGATTTAAGCAATATTATTCAATTTTGTTTATATTGTAGTTAAAGTAATAATTTTAATTAAACTTCATTTAGTTTTCAATTTTTGAGTAACAATGAAAAGTAAATAAATAATCACAATTTTAATATTTAAAAAAAATTAAAATCTCCAAATAAGATCATAATTTAAAATTAAATTTAAAAAAAATTAAAATTAATTAATAAATATAAGAGTTATCTAAACATTAACAAAATTTTAACCTGTTTTTAATTTTTGAGCCTTCATGCATTTTGAGTTTTAATAGCAGTAAAATTTAGTAAATAATAATAATATAGATTGATTGATAAATAGTATTAATTGATTGATTGATTTTAATAAAGTGAAATTTGAATTAAAGGGGTGTTAATGAATGAATTTATATAACTGCATAATCAATGATGTGTGCGGGTCCACATCAACAAAGGCTCACGACACTTGTTTTCTACAATCAGATGTGCGCCTCATATTTTCTACTAATTGCTGCGATAAAACAACATCGCCAGAAACGGGACTTACTCACTTTGCTTTTAGTATCTATTTCCACATATATGACCAGACATGGTTAGACCTATTTTGGCGGCATGGCTGGGCATTTCTAACGGTCATGTTCCTTTTTGGCGATATCCATTGCTACATATTTTGGCTCCTAACAATGGACAAAGACCTATCCTGCTACATGGCTCCTGTCTATGGATGACGAGTTGATCTATATAGCTCCTGGCAATGGACAACGAGCCAAGCATCTATCTGTACATATCTTTATCACTAGTTCTCATCAATGGACAACGAGCTGATTCTGTTACATTCACACAGCTCCCAATGATGGACAAAGGGCCAGATTTGCTACATATTTATCACATTGGCTTCCAGAGACGGATAAAGAGTCAACGCAACTCGGTACGATTAGCATGAGGCTGGTAACAGTTACAACTCTACAATTGGACGTGATGGCTACCCTCCAGCAATAAAAATCCATCAAGTAGCGGTCGATAGTCCCTTGGTGGTTGCTCGTGCATGGTGGTGCGGTGCCTAACGGGCAACAACAACCAGGACCATCCTCTGATGGTGCAGGTACGACAAGAAGGGCCAACGTTTGTCAGTGGTATCACACCTTGTCGTATCGGAGGCCATGGATGCGGCTGGCATCCCTTTTTTCATGGAGACAACTCCACCTCTCTATATCACATATTCATAGCTATGACGGAGTTTGGCTTATGGAGATTTACCTTTTCGCGACTTGACAGATTAATGGGAGTGCTCTTCAGATTACACATAGTTCACGCTCTAGCCATGGACAAAGCTAGTCAATGTTGTCCCTCCGGCTATAGGAAGACCATTCATGGCTGACCCTACAATACTTATACAACGTGACTGACGTCCGTGTACATTATCATTCTTCTATATAAAAGGACAAAGTTACCGATTGCCAATAACCTCGACCCACAATGCATAGTTCCTATGTCTTACGTGTTAGTAGGTATCGCCAGTCAACAAAGCTTGGCTCAAGACAACAATATCGCAATACACACCTATATCGCTTGTTCTCTATTTTAACACAACGCCAGCCATGTACAACAGCAATGCATTGGTGCCTGCCATGGCCAACAAGCAAACGGGAACAATGAACACTCATTCACAGTCCCCTTCAACATACAAGGGAGTTTCCTTCTCCGCTATATATATTCATATATTCCTTACACTTAAAACACTTGAACATATGCTCGCATGTGCCTAGTTGTTATTGTAGATAAACGCAAGCCCATGAATCCAAACTCATGGGAATTATTCAGGATAAACTATGGGAGTAGTGGCTTGGCAGGCATGGATGGATGATTGCTACCCACCTGGCCAAGCAAAGCATTTGCGCCAACGAAGCTTGGCTTTGGCGATGTTGCCCAACTTCGTCAGAAAGGGTTGGGTGGCGAAGGCGTGGAAGCAAACTTAATCCCAGAACAGTACCCTTTGATGCTAACTAGAGGCTGGAAATTTCGTTGAAGATTAACCAGAGATGCCATTCGGATCACCATCAGCAACTTGCAGTCATATTTAATGCGAAGGTAGCTTCATAAGTTCCATGGCCTTGGAAACTGCTACAAAAGATTACTATTTACTTGCAGAATCTTCCAAAATCCCGTACAGAGCTTGGGGAACTTACCAAATCCTATACAGGTGATGTTTTTGCTGGTTGCACTCAAGCACCTCTCCAAAATGGAGTTCCATATGGCTGGAAGACTTTCCAAGAATAAGCACTTTGCAGTCCATCGTTGGAATTGGTGAAGCTTCGCTAGAGCCATTGGGCAACCGCTGATGCCATTGCCAAAGAAGTCACCAATAGTGCCTGGAACCACTAGAAGCTTGACAGCTCACCCAAAACCCATTTGTGCATCCCTGGTCCCTCAATCAA